ATCCCTCGTTCCACCGGGCTCTTCCATCCCGAATCTAATCCCGTGGATTACTTCCTTTTGAGCCTGTGCCTCAAGCATCTTCCTGTGGCAATCAACAGAAGATAGCCAGAAACTGTTTGTCCCTTTTGCCCCATGCCACTTCTAGTGCATTCTATTCTTTTCAGTTGATCCCAGTGTTGGATTTAGATGAGAGCCAATAGGAGCTTTTTTAATGACAGTAGTTGTGCAATATTGAATGCATTGATATCCCCTGTACTAATTACACAACAATACGTACTCTCCGAACACCACAAACCCCATAATTACCCCCCGCTCTTCAATAGATCCCACATGAATAGACTGAAGTCCATCTTGTTTTTACCGGATACATCCCTTCTTCTTTTTTTTTTTTTCCTTTTTTTTTTTTTCAATATATGTATTTATTTATTGACTGGGATGAGACCTACTCCCAGTGAATTTATAACAATAGCTGTTTAATGAATGAAATAATTACAATCTTGTCCTTCTGCCAAAGTGTCATTGAATCTTTTTCATGTCAACAACATCCGCCTAAGTGTTACAGTTTTTTTTTTCTCCCCCGTACTGCGCAAATTAACTATGAAAAAATGAGCAGAGTCATGTAAATATAACCCATGTGTATATGAAAATGTAATGGATTTTAACATCATAAACCTCGGGAGGAATGATTCCCAATTGTCAGACTCTTCGGCACAGTTGCCACTATGGCCCTCAGGCTACTTGTGTGCCATGTTTCACTCTTTGATCCCTTGTTTTATGTCTTTCCTCTTTCTCTTCCTCTGTTTCAGTGTCCCCAGATGTGAAGCATGAAATCAGGTAATTCAGCAACACAAAAGCCTTTGAAATGTAAATTTGTGAGTGTGTGCGTCTGCATTGCTGAGCGAGTGAGAGAGCGTGAAAAGCTTTGGATTGGAAATCGGCCAATGAGTGAAGGAACTAAAAGTGGCTCATTGTTATTGATGGTGTGCTCATTCCTTATTTTTATTTTCAAATATTATTTTTATCATTTCAATATCAGAGACGTCCTCACCGGGCAGTCGTGTTTCACCGAGATGAAGAAGGGTGTATCACATCAGTTTTTGAGGGAAGTGATGAGCCTTAACATGACCAGAAACTAGACAAAACCACAGTCACCAATAAAGCTTCACAAGTTTAGCTTCAGTCTCCTCTGCCATTACAAAATGTAAAAGGAATTACTAATATAGTCACCTGCGCAAAATAATGCATTAATGAAACCCCATCCAACCAATCCATTATTCATCTCGCGTATCCTCGCTTCACCGCGAGGTCGTGCTGGAGACTATATAGCGGTAGGCGGCGTACACGATGCACTCATCGCAGGCTCGCATACACAAATAACCATTCATAATCATGGGCTCACATATGGATAATTTACCATGCTACCGAACTACCATGTAGCGGCATATTTCTGGGTGAATGGGAGAGGAACAAAATGAAACTCACCTATATATATCTATATATATCTATATATCTATATATATATATAATATGTGTGTGTGTGTGTGTGTGTGTGTGTGTGTGTGTGTGTGTGTGTGTGTGTGTGTGTGCGTGCTTGCGTGCGTGCATAACACTACAACCCAAATACATACATTCTAAGTTGTGCCTGATGGGTTTCATGTGTGAAACGCTCATCTCGTGAATATCGTCATGAAATTATCGTAGCTGCTGGCTGAAGAACTTCCTGAAATTCACTCACTCACACGCAAGAGTGATGATTAGTTGGGGAGTTCGCATTATTGAAGATGACCTTTACGCATCCAAAGGTTAGGACCATTAAGTTGAGCGTGTCTGGACAGGTAGGGTTTGCCAGAAGGGGCAGCCAGCGAGGGGGTGTCATTAATAGCTAAGAACGTATTCCCATTTTGTGGCATTTTCTCGAGCGACAGTATATGAAAAGATTAGGCAGCAAAAGAAGGACAGCGCCAGTAAGGGTGATGGATGAAGCAACCCCTTTTGTGAACATGAAGGTAGGATGTGGGACAAAACCTGGCAGCCCCATAATCTTTATCCTGAAGATGAGGGAGTGGAGAACGAAGACAAAGAATATTACATTCCCTCCCTGCTAAGAGGCAACGACCGGAATTCATCAGTGTGAGCCATTGAGCGAGCGAGTGAGCGAATGTTTTTCTCCCATGCAGATTTCCAGTGCGGCAGCGACTTGAAGAGGAGCTGCAGGTTTCTCGGGTACAGATAATCCTTTCGTGAAATGACAGGAGGTGATAGAAAAGGTAGAAAAAAAACAATGTTTGAAAATGACCCAAGGCAGAAAGTTGAACGAGAGGCTGAGCAATGACAAAGCACAGAAACTAAAGGAAAACGTGTAAAAAATACTGTTCTCCATTTTTTTTTCTACATAGGAAAGAACAGCAAAGGCAGTTATGGCAAGCAAACAAAACCGATGACTGGTTTGTCAGTTTGAATTCCTAATGACCTCACATCATCTGTCTCCTCCCATAAATTCTTCCTCAGTGCAGCGTTTAGCTGCCTGGGTGGACTGCAACGCTATATAAACTGACAATCCCCGCCTGGAGGAATTCATGACTGTTCAGATGAGTCTTTGTATTACCTTCACCGGAACGGTTTACGTAAACTTCAGGCTCAGAGAAACAGGCACAGCAAAAACATGGCAACCAAGTCAAGATCCACGTTTGTTTTCTTTTTTCAGAGGATAGCTTTTATCCAGATCAAGTTTGACATGATCATTCTGCAGGCAATCAGATCAAGTGTTCACATTTTAGTAGCAAGTGCTGTTTGCGACTCGACGTTTCTACAGCTGTTTTAAACACCGGTTGTTGCTTTTTATATAAGAGAGTCCCAGGAACACGGTAATGGGCCAAGCTTGTATAATATCAGGAAGTAGGGCACATTACATAAATACAGTGGCAATTATATTGCTTATAGTGCTTGTCTGTTTGACTTTAGATTAGTTTGCAACGATGCAGAACTTGTGAGGTGGAAGAAAATACATACGTTCAACATCAGGTTCGTTTGAGTGCCGCAGTATGTTCAGCAAAAGCACAGTTAAGGTTGAAGTCATGTCAGTTATTTAGACGTTACCGGTTTGCACAGTTTTGGATTTGTTTTTTTTTCTGTGTATTCTCAAAACTACTGGCCCAGGATTTTGGATGAGTAACCAAAAGAAAGCCATACAGGCTATTATTCACATTTACCCACGTCAAAAGGTAGATGTCAAAGGACACAGGTTATAATGAGTTGAGAAGTGGTCCCCTTCTCTTTTTCTTTTTTGAAGAGATGTTCTTCAGGATAGAGAAAAGCGTAACTGGTGCCGTTTCTCTTTTCTTGCTATGCCCCATCATGCTATCTTGAATCTATCATCCTCCAAAGACCTGCTCTAACCGGACCTTTTTATATTCTCAAAACTATTTACAGAGACTTCAGTTAATCCTCGGCTCCAGGTGCAGCTCCTCAGAAGCTCATGGACAATAACAGTTATCCCCCTATTCCCTAAACTTCAAAGTATTGATCGAAAAAGTAAAGCGAATGGGGTGAGAAGGTCATCTTTGCCCTACTTTGTCAGCCACGTCCCGAAACTGCATATAATTAACTGCACCAAAATCAATTAAATGGCACAGTGGATCTATATTCTGCTATAAAGTTGGGTTATTTTCAAGCATGTGAAGACATCCAAACAAAAGCAATCACTTCAAGGTGTGTGTGTGTGTGTGTGTGTGTGTGTGTGTGTGTGTGTGTGTGTGTGTGTGTGTGCGTGTGCGTGTGCGTGTGCGTGTGTGTGTGTGCGTGTGCGTGTGCGTGTGCGTGTGTGTGTGTGTGTGTTCCTCAGGCTTTTATTCAACTTGTCTTTTACACTTGGATTGCTGCCTTGGGTTATCTTCAACCAAAGGATTCAAAGGTGGGCATAAAGAGATTTTGGTCTCTTTATAAACACATTGGCTAAACCCCGGTGGGATGAAGAAAGACATCGTGGACAAGACAGCTATTGTTTGTAGAAAAATATATATTTGGACAGAAAAGAGAGAAAAACATACAGATGACAGAAAAACGTGTCCGTCCGACCTCGAGCGTCGTGTCTACTCTCTTAGCTTAGCTTATCTGTTGTTGTTGTTTAAAGCCTCTTTGATCTGTGTCGTCCATTGCGTCGGCGCTGATTGGTTGAAGCCAAAAGATGTGCGCGTGCGTACATGTTCCCGCTGACGCACACACAGCAGAGAGCAGCGGACTATTGACTGCTGGGTCACGCTTCGCTCGAGTGGCGTCGCTACGGAATGCCTGTCAGTCCGTCACCGTCAGATGCCCGTTTTGCTGACAAACGACGTGAAACTGAAACAAAACTCCACGCTGACGAAAGAGGGTTTTCGTCTGTCACCGGAATGGTCACTAACCGTGTCAGACTAGCGGACATTCTCGGATTCCCATTTTGCTAACGACTGACGTATCTCACCTGTTTTTGTTCGCAACGGTGCAAACACTGGACTTTGAACGAAGCGGAGGAGGGGATCCTTGTCCTCTGATAGGAAAAAAAAGAAAAGTTCAATATCGCTCGTTAATCTGGTGGCCTACCTGTGGTTGTGTTGGCTGCGAACTAAATCTCGATTCCCATTCGAAAAGCTTGCTCCATTTTCAGGTCGGCCTGGCCGGTAAAATAATCTTTTGTTCCCATAGACAGCAACGACATTGTCGTTGAATTGTACCATATATTATTAATGTCACCAATTAGTACACTGTCTGTGTGTGTGTGTGTGTGTGTGTGTGTGTGTGTGTGTGTGTGTGTGTGTGTGTGTGTGTGTGTGTGTGTGTATGTGTGTTTTTAAACTTTATTTGGCCTTGTGTCTCCTGTGCTGCACTTGCGTGTAACGTACTAAGTAGCATGTTCTCAATGCCAAAGCAACCCCGGCAAGAGGGGAAAGAGGAAGAAAAAGCATTGGACTTCCAAAATTGAATATCAATGGCTAATGTCATTTAATTTTTTTTTTTTTCCCCAGCAGTGTCCACTTCTGGTGAGCAGTCCACATCGACTCCAGCAGAAGAACAGACAAGCCTGCTCCTGCTAGTACAAAGGTTTGAAGATTTTTAATTTGAACCATGGGTATGTTTTAAATTAAGTGACACTTTAATTGCCTTCTATGTTGTCTGTGTGTGGATGCGGTAGTGGTATGCGACAATATAAAAATGTTTACTGTTCATGTTTTTTGGGGGGGTTGATGTATTAAAATGATGACAGACACTGGTGAAAGAAAATGGATGGTTGGATGAATGGACCTTGAGTTTTTGACGACAACCATATTGGATAATTTATTAGCAGCTCATTCTGCTTTTCAATACCGCTGATGGAAAAGGATCAGCGCAGCCACTTTAATCTAGTGAGTTTTCTTCGTGACTTTAATCTTGCATTCTATTGATTATTTTAGCATCTGAGTGCACTGTCTCCAAGTTCACACCAGTGGCAAAATAGTCCGATTTTGTAACCCATCCGTATATCATATATAACGAATAAGTTCCAATAGGGCTTTTGTCTGTTGTCCTCCTATTTGTCCTCACAGCCTGGTTGATAGACAACTCTCTGTCGCTTTCAGTTCCACTGTCATTAATATCAAAAGAAGTCAGGGTAAGTAAATATTCAAATGTTAATGAATCTTTATCCAGTTTCTTCTTCTTCTCGACATCTCATCAACATCCTGGTAATGTGACAAGTCGGAAAAAAACTCCCCAATTCATGAACAAAGAATGGAAACGATTCTCAAGATCAACTCAGAAAAGACACACACTGACTGTTTTTCAAGACATTCTTCAAATGGGTCCCTGGAAACCAATTGTGGGATGTTCCCATCACTGAGTGTTGTTTACTGCTGGAGCTTTTTCAGCTCACTGACTTTTTTCTATTCTTTTCCACATCCACTCAGCTATGCAGCAAGACATTTGAATTTGACTCCCCACAATTTCTCTCTGCATTCAAGCTTGTGGATGTATGTATGCACATTCAGCACCTTTACATGAAAAAAAGGACAATAAATAACACTATCAATGAAATAAATAACCAATCAAATTTTCTCTTTCCTAATCTTTTCACTCTTATTATTTGACAGGGTTATGTCCAGGATTTTTTTTTTTTTTTTTTCAGGGAGGGGTTTCTGATCAGGCAAACATTGCATAAGTGTGGAATAGAATGTTACGCTTGGCATGTACAAGTCTCGATCATGTGGCCAGACTGAAAAAAACGAAATGAAAATGCATCTCTGGTATTGTTCAGGGGGCCGGGCAAAATGTGGAGCCGGACCATATTCGGCCCTCAGGGCGTAGTTTGGGGACTCAGGGTTTTATATCAAAGTATATTCACGTGTTAGAATGGCCCAGTCAATGAACAGACCTAAGCCCCATTGAACATCGGTAGCAAGATTTGAAAATTGCTTTTCACAGATGCCCTTTGTCTTTTTCTGGCTGGCTTAATTAATTTTTAAAATGTATTTTAAGAAATGGGCACTGTTAGAGACATTGCCCAAAATACTTTTTTTTCCTAAAACATTTACAATATGTATTTCACTTCAAAATAATGTGCTACGATTTCATTCAATCTAAAACGAAGCCAACATTGAGGTTTGTGATTGTAAGGAGGTCAAATATGAACACGTTTAAGGGCTGTGGAGATCTTTTCAAGGCACTGTCTTTTTTTTTTCTTTTTTTACTTTTCTTAACATTGAAAATACCTGTGCACTGCAGACACATTCATATTCCCTGTGTTACAGTATTGTGTGTTCAACCATCACTTTATTCCTGCAAAAATAGCACCTCTATAAAAGACTGAATCTTTTTTGTTTTCCAACTCACACGCTCAGGTTAAAGACACAAGAAAGCTTGTCAGGGAAAAATAATAGTCGAGCACTTTTTTTCTTTCACTCTCTCTCTGCCTTTGTTCAAATTTACCTTTGTGCCTTTTATCACAATTTCACACCCATTTAATTCTTGCTTCTTTAGATTTTGACTTTAAATATAGTTGTTGGTGCACTTCAGCTTCAAAAAAAAAAAATAGGAGTATGCCTTTTAATCGAACTGTAGTGATCTTCAGCCATGTGCACAACACCGGTCCCGATTCAACTGGAGAGGACCTTCTACAACGCTGTGGGAAAGAGACAGACACCATTTACCAAGCTATTTTCTAAGGTTTTGTTGAAGAGAGCCTCCTAAAACGTTTTCTCTTACTCATACTCCTTCCCTTTCTTTCACCCCGGATCTCTTCATGCTGCTCATTCATTCAGGGCAGCCTTTTATAGGGTCCATCAGTTGCCATCTCCCAACTTCCCTCGCTCTGAAAAGGGGGCCACCCTTTTCTTCTCCTTTTCAGAGCCAATGATCAACATTTACTCTCAACTCCTCCGAATTTGATACCTCTGATGAAACTGCTTTTAAGCCGGATGAAAAGTAGCAGAATAGTTCATGGGAATAGACTATCGGTGCATGAAGGCACTGCTTAGTGCTGAATAAAAGATTTTAATGCTACTTGTGTGAGGTTCTGCGTAAACCATGACTAAAAATACAATCACTACATTCACTGACATAAAGGTACTTAAGAACACCAAAGTGAATGAAGTGTGTATGTCAGGGGTGCGCACAAAGTGTCGGATCCAGCCAAAAAGCAGACGAGTTAAGTGAATGGCACTTGCGTGGTAGGTTGATGAACGCTGGAAATTGTCCCAAGGTGTGATTGTGAGCACCAATGGCTGTTCGTCTCCGTATGCCCAACGATTGGCTCTCAACCAATTCAGGGTGTTCCTCACCGACTGCCCGAAGACTGCTGGGTTAGGCTCCAGCATGTGATTATTGCAATTAGCATTATGAAACGGGACAACACAGAGTGTTTCCTTAACCTACCGAGGCAGCTTTTGTTAATTTATGCAGTGTGTAGACAGTCGTTCTTCTCTTTTTGCAGCAACTAAGATACAATAGCACTAATACGAAGATAAACATATATAAGCTTTTCAATTTTCAATATACCACACAGATTTGTTTTCAATTGCGTTGTACAAGTTATAGTTTACAATCATGAGGGGAATTATTTAAATTAGTTATTGTACTCTGACTTCAGGTTTCCATAGCTCACCACAAACTTTTACCGAAGCTCTTTGGGCAGTTCCTGTAACCTCAGCACTTGCTGTTTGGTATGACGTGCTTGTCACTTGTCAGGTGTGACATTTTGTACTTTATAGGCAGATATATGCCTTTCCAAATCATGTTCAATGAATTCAACTCAAGTAGACCAATAAAAGGTGGACAAGCATGTGAAGGATGATCAAGGTAGTCTCTCAGTCTGAGTGCAGTGTGATTGAAATTTCCACTTGAGGAACACAAATGACGATAATCCAAACCCCAATTGCAATGAAGTGAGGGCATTGTGTAAAATGTAAATCAGAGAACACAATGATTTGAGGATACTTTTCTAACCTAATGCACTGTCGCCTGAGGTAGGGATCAATGTTCATGGAAATTCAGCGTTGTTTTCAGCCTTGCCACTTACGTGCAGGAGATTTCTCCAGATCTCTGAATCCTTTGATGGAATTATCCGCTCTCGATGATGAAAACCAGAAATTTCTTGCAAATGTATGATGAACGGTTCTTTTTCGACTGCCGGACTAGTTGCTCACAAAGTGGTGAACCCGACCTCATCCTTGCTTGTGAACATCTGAACCTTCAGGGGGTGCTTCTTTTATAACCAATCATGACACTCACCTGTTTCCAATTAGTCTTTTCCCCTGTGAGTTGTTCCGAAATCTTTCTTGAGCATTTCTCAACGTTCCCAATCTTGTGTTACCCCTGTCCCAGCTTTTTGGGAACGTGTTGCAAACATCCATTCATCCATCCATCCATTTTCTGATCCAGTTTTCTCACAAGGGTTGCGGGCGTGCTGCAGTCTTCTTGCAGTAGGCGCAGAGCACACATCGACAAACAACCATCAACACTCACACTCACAATTTTGAGTGTTCAATCGGCCTGCCGTGCATGTTTTTGGAATGTGGGAGGGGAAACTGGAGTACCCGGAGAAAAGCCACACAGGCAAACTCCACACAGGAAAGCCGGAGCCCAGAATCGAACCTTGCATTTCTGCACTGTGAGGTCGACGTCTTAACCAGTCGCTGACCGTGTGCGTGTATCAAACTAAATATTATTATTGTTATTATTATTATTATTAATAATAATAATAATAATAATAATAATAATAACAATGTTCATCGGTTTGATTAAATGAACTTTGATCTTTGTAGCTTATTAAATTGACGATAAATTGAAAAGCATTTGCAAATTATACAACCATCAAGAACTGAAAGTGTGCCACTGGAAAGGTCATCTGACCAAAATCACTCGTGCTCATCCTCTTTTAGTCATTAATATTGCCAGCAAATTTGCAAAGATTTCGATGAAAACTTGATAATGTTTGATCAAATTTAGTTGTTCGGCTTGAAGGTGGCACTAGAGGACATGTCAACTCACCGATGAGTTCCATTCTCGTTGGATTATTGACTGTGCGTATTCAACAAAAGAAGCAAGAGACAAAAGCTTGGTCATGAATTTTACGTCAAACAATTTCTGCCGGGAGACATGAACCCAAAGGTAAAATGTGAGAGGAATATTTGAGGACTTAACGGCTGAGCTGAAATGCACAAACTTGTCAGCATGTACTCCGGTTTCCTCCCAGATTCCCAAAACGTGCTTGGTAGGTTAAAATTAAAACTAAATTCTCCCTACGTGTGATTGTGAGTGCGAATGATTGTTTGTCTATTTATGCCTTGTGATCGCCCTGCTTACTGCCTGACGACAACTTCGAAAGGCCCCCGCAGGCCCCTCATTGGGATAAAGAACCTTTACTATTCCAAAAACTGTAAGAAATATGGTCCGTCCTGTGTGAATATGAAATGTGAAAAATCAATGCTCAAAGTACAAGTATCTTACCATCCAAATTTGGGTCCTGGAAGCTAGAGCTATTTCTTAAGCGGATGTTATTTTAAAGTCGTCAACCCATTATTCTGTTGTCATCAGAGATATCTTAACCAACAGGGAAAGTCCTAGCAAACACAGACATTGACTGTCTGAGTTATGAAGTGTTGAAAAGTACTTGAAGAGGGTCCCAAAAGAGAGGTGAAATCTCCTGAAGAGTTTGAAAACATTTGCCTGCACCTTCATCTCCAGCCGTCGAGCCCACAGAGACGTGGTAAACATATTTTGCAACTTTGAGCAAGTTGATAAATTATGCAAAAGACTTGGGACAAACTTTTTGATTTTGAAGACAATTTGGGGTCTCGTTTTTCAACTCCAAATAAAATAGGAACATCATTAGGATTTGGCCCATTTAACGTTTAAACATACATTATAGCGGTGATTCCCAGCCAGTGTGCTGGGGCACATTAGCGGGCAATGAGAGCTCTGATGATGTGCTGCGGGAAATTATTGAATTTCACTTCATTGGTCAGAACATTTTTTTAAACACTTTCGTGTAGTGGTGTGTCATGAGATTTTTTTTAAATACTGTATGTGCCTCAAAACCCAGCCGCTGGGGAGCAGTGCCCTCCCCTGGGGGTACACTGTTCCCCGGTGCCGGTCCCAAGCCCGGAGAAATGGGGAGGGTTGCGTCAGGAAGGGCATCCGGCGTAAAACTTTTGCCAAGACGGACATGCGAGTTGATAGGGCGGTTTGCAGGGACGGATGGGAATTAATGACTCGCTGTGGCGACCCCTGAAAAGGGACGTGCCGAAAGGAGGAGAAGAAGAAGAAGAAGACTGTATGTGCCTCAACTCAATGAATGTTGGGAACCACTCCATTATCATAATCTTGATCCTCTACCTATTGCACTTTGTCTTCCAAAACAACAAACATTTCTATCACGTCTTTCATGTTGGTCATCAAACACAGTCTTGAAAAAAAACGACCAGCTCTCTAATCCTGGACGTCATCTGTCCAAATGGTGTTGCCATCACGCTACTGCTGCAGATACGTCAGGTAGAACTTCTGATGAGTGACTGTTTTGGAATTCCCAGAAAGTGGACACGCGTGGAATTATTAAGGT